CTCACGAATATTTTCCGGACATCGTGCTAGAATTTGGGGCAAAATAGTAGACACAGAGTGAAGCAAAGCATCACAGTAAGCCACTCGTTCCTCATCCGAAAAGATGCAGCTCTGAAATTTACTGGCTATCAATAAGCTGTTCTAAAAACCTGGAGAACGAGAGAGTCAGATTATTGAAAGCGGTGATCGTCTTCTTCGATGATAGTACTAACAAGAAGATTACTATCTAACAACAGAAATGCCTGGCAGCGCACCGCAACCACACGCGTCTGAAGGCGACCGCCTCAGATGATACTACATAATACTGTGCAATATCTACACAAATAGTTGTACAAATTACCGAAAGCGGCATCAAGGCAGCATCGAAGGCCATTATTGATGGCCATCCAGTTGCTGTATCAATCATACGCGCCAGCGTGTCTGGTATCACTAAATGGCGTGGCCCAGTAGATGAAACCTGGAAATGCCGAAAACTACAACTTTTGGCGGTAAATGATAGTTCGGGAATGGTCTAGGACAGTTTTCTATACCTTCTCTTCCTCCATCCATTGACCATTTTCTTGCTTATACATTATTGGAGATAAACTGAAATGTGGAAGATACGAGAGCTTTTCAAAGTGATCCCTGCCAAACTTACATCCTCAACATGTGTAAGGCTGCGAACCGGATAAAAACACTATCCGAAGGAAGAAGATCCTCAGCATGTATTATCAAGGTCTGGCGAATAGGGTCATACCTACAACGAGAGAATATTCCGAGGTCGTGACTATTAAAGTGAAAGTAGAATGGCACTGCACGGAAAGCTTGCATATATTCCAAAGATCAATACAGAAACAATGAGAGGTAGGCAGTGATGATAAAACTTGCCGCACGAGGTTTACGTGTGTTAGTTTGCCAAAATAGCCGCCATGCGACCGCTCGCTCAACTGCTAGTATCAAGGACGATCAAAGCCGAAGTCAAAACAGCTGCACCTACCCAAATTTGTCCAACTCTGGACAAAGTTTTGTTTTAAGAGCCAATTCGTCGGGTAATTGTTTAATGCGTAACAAAGCGTCCACCAAACTTCGTACAAAGAATGTTGGTCGACTGTCTGAAAACGTCATGTTATAGCGTTGCGCGAAGAAAGTGGGCAATAGCTCCCTGTGGAAGCTGTTCTTGGAATGGTCATTTCGCATTGCCTTGCCTCACAAATAGTACACTCTTATAACTACATCTCTCTCAACTTGTGGAAATTGAAACTTAGTCGCTATCGCTTTGTAACTGGGTTATAGCCATGTCAGATAGCTTTGTCGCAGCGCAATCTTAGGGCGATACTTTTACTCCAAACATGAATGTTCAAAAAAAAACTGGATTACAGCCATGTGAGATCTGCCAAATTCTGAGCTCTAAAATGACCATCCTAAAAGCCACACGTGCGGATGCTGGCAGTATATAACAGACAGGGAAATCCGGAAACAAATCCTGATCATGGGCAATTTATGCTTCCTTACGAGGCGAAGAGATAATAATTATCCCTAGTGCTGTTCAGATGAATAGCATTAATAAGCTCAACCTTACCAGCTTTTAGGAACGTAAACCACCGCACAATAATACGCGCCATTGTTGGAAGGAAGAAGTTTGGCCACTCCTACAACATGCTACTGTGTACACTCTAATACTAATTAATCGCTAATCGATTGAAAAAGCCAAATTCACTCAATGTATCAACTCACCGTATCAAACGAGTTACCATAATTATGACAACTCAGTTTGTCACATTCATTGAACAGCATCAGAGCTAGGCCAGCCAGCGACTCTAGTTGGGCTGGATTTTCACCCTTGGGGTCCATACGTTCATCACAGCTCTGGAAGATATCCCTCAAAATATTCATGAGGCGCTCGAAAACCAGTACCAAAAAACCTACATCCAATGCTGTTACTGCTCCGCACATGATAAAATCAAGTAATTCTGGTGGTAGAGAAGGCAAAGTCACTTCATCTATGTGATTTAAGGCAGCAAGCAGACATAGTGCGCTTATTCGCCATGAGGAAGAGTCTAGAGAGCTGGAACCAAAATTCTGATTATACCAGTTACACCAGTAATGGAAATACCTACACAATCCAGACTCATTTATGTCAAAAACTTTGAAAATACCTGGCATTAAATATGGAATCCTCCCATTCAGAGGCATCAGACTGAATATGCTCATAAATTTGCGACAGGAAGTTGAATTCAGACTCAAAGTGGAACCTAAAAATACTCGCGATATTAATTTACTGCGGAATTCATATTCGCTCACCTGTTCGTGACAACCAGGTGTGTGGCTGCTGTCAACAAATAGCAAGCAAAAGTATAACTGTTTTTAAAAAAACGAGGGAAACTGAACCAACCTCGTTATCCACTGCTCCAGTGACCCGAGCTTTAGCTCTGAGCAATCACTGTGCAATGCCCAAAACCAGGCCACTTTCTTTTCAGGTTCATTCCATGACTGAAGCGGAAGTCGAGGGTGTGTACAATAGCGGAGGTGGTGTAGGGTTAACTGAGCTGCAGCAGAAGTCGACGGCAAAGTCAATAAGGCAGAAATGGCTCGGGAAGAAGCTATAGCTGTTTTCTAAATAGAAGTTTCAGGGATGTGATCACAGTATTACCATTAGGTACAGTACTTTGTAAGAGCGAAATTTCGGTATAGACGTTTTAATAAATTCAAACCTGGAATGTTTGATGCCATCGATTTATGGTATCAGATATGACTTCAGGTATAACATCGCATCGCCATCGAGTATCATAAAACATTTGAGCAATAGGGAATACTGCAGCAGCATAAGCCAGAGACACATCATGAGCTTTATCTGCGGAAAAGCATTTTTTATGGCTAATATATGAAGATATCATAAAAAATGTAAACATAGAGATGCTGTTACCTTCACAATCGATAGAGAGGTAGATGAGGGCTCTACGAGCCGATTTCTCGAGACTGGTCAGCAGATGCTCTTCGGAGCCGGGTGGTTCCTTCTCATTATGAAAAGGCTCACCAAAAAGCCCATACTTGGCTAATACATCATTTGTGACCTGAAATAAATGAATTTGAGTCTGCAACCCCTTATTGTCTGCCTTATTTCACAAAGGATGAATTCGAAAGTAGATTCCACACACGATTAGGAAGGATTTTTGAATTGAGATCACTCATTTGCCTACAGTATGCACTATGGTTAGAATTGTAAGAGATAGACAATATTCAGCAGGTGGTTATTTTAGGTGAGCTTCTCAATGAGCATTTTCAAAGGTCTCCATACGAGTGGAAGGACACCGCCGACTGAAAACAACGCGGGGACATAGAAAAGTGGCAAGATCAAAGAGCTGCTTAAGGCAAGCTTAGGTGTAGCAGCAGAATACAAGGAAATCAAAAATGGAGAGGAGGATTTCAAAATAAGATTTTCATAAATGCGGTGTTCAAATGAGCGTACCGACGATATATGTACCTATTCCGTATTCGTTAGATGCTGCATCCAAGAAAGCGGAAAGGGGTAGTTCTTAAGAAAAAGCAATAAAGAGAAGTAAGACCCATTTACATCTAACTTTAAAAGATGATGGAAAGGAAGCACAGCTTCCCGAAAGTTAGAGCACATGGTAGAAAAGTTCTATTTTGTATACTAAAAAAATGCGCTTATTGCGAATGCGAAAGTGGCACGCATAAGGTCATACAATGTACTCACATATGTGTCGAAATCTGTTAACATCGTCAGCAGTTCATCTTGTGAGGGCAGAAGAGCACAATAACGACTGTCAGAATACAGCAACTGTGAACACACCAATCCGATTCGATTCAAGCTAGAAAGGCATTATGGGTGCGTCCTTAATTTCGGTCCTCTGACTGAGAAAAAGGACTTACCTTGCCAGCGAGTAGGGCTTGGAAGACATTGACTCATCGAGGTAAGACAACAGCGCATCCCGGACCAGTAATTCACATGGAGGAAAACGTGAAAGAGTTTGTAGCACAGAGTCGATTTCTGTAAGAAGGGCATAAGTGTGGCAATCTCCGAAAACAGATCGAGATATAAGTTGTGAAAAATTGCAAATAGTAGAAACACCATTAATCGCACCATAAACCCGAATGCGTGGGCGCATCCCTCAGACAGGATTGATTAAAGCCCCAAGACTTTATCCTTCTACATGTCGCTCAATCCCTTGAACCAGATTAAATAATAGAATTTCAAGAGTGAAATATGGCACTGCAGTCGTGCACAACGATGCAAGTGTACATTGGGACAGTGCCTTGAAAAACGTTTACAGAGGTGGAATAAGTTGAATACTGCGAAGTATCAACTCTACACGTGCATGCTCCAAAGATAGACTTCCACCTTAATCCACCAAAACTTCGATCTCTATGAGGCCACCATCAATCTCTAATACAAGGCCATTGGCCGTTTTTAGTGGCATCTAACTTTTTCGGTAGAATTGATTTGAGGACTTGTTACTCGCCTTTATGGGAATGGAATAGGAAGAATGAAATGCGCTGTCAAACGCTATTACGACTTTGCATAAAGCCAAATGCGTGGCGCACCCCACACGCCCCAGGAAGAGGTGTTGATGTTAATGAACGACAACAGACTTGCGGCATTTTAAATATGCGTAAAACTAAAAAAAGAATACCTTCATCAGATACATCATTATTAAAGAGCGAATGAAAGGAAATTCGTGAGCATTCAGCCGTCAAGTCTTCCGGAAGCTTAAAAATTCATTATATACACTTGTCAATAGAACGCCAGTAAAGAATGAATTCCATGTTGATCAGCAAATCCAAGTAAAAATGCAGCAGATTACCTCTAACGTGTTCAGTAATTCCGAAATAAACTGTATGGAACAGGAGTCGTTGAGCAATGCAGAGAGCACCTCGCCCCGTTCAGCAACCTTGAAATGAACTTTATCACTGCGATATTACTGAAGTGGATAAAAATTCAGTTTACCTCAATCATCCCTAACACCTTGCAAATGGCAGGGTGATTCTTCTCCTTCTCCCACTGCGCTATGATCTTTTTCAAGCAAGGTATCAGTTCTATACCCAAACTGGACGAAATCATTGGCCAATCAACGGAGGAAATCTCGGTAAGGATTAACGGAGTGAGACTCGAAGATAATAGCTGAAAGAATTGACTTTTGCAGCTCCTACGAGTCTGTAAAAAACGGAAAATGTTTAAACAGTTTCTGAATGGAGTGTTGCCGAAATTGGGACCGAAAAGCCCGTCATATCGACCAATGAACTCCAAAAAAACAGAAAAAGAGGAAGAACTCACATTGAGTTCCTTTACTTTATCAGGATTTCTCCGTAAAATTCGCAACACCACTTGCGCAAACACGAGCGAAGGCCTTGATTCTTTACCCAAGGCAGAAAGAAGATTCACACTCTGAAAAATTTTTCGGCACTTTGTCGTAACTACTTTTTCGTGAAAATGATTACAGAAAAAATGAGAGATTCGTGTTTGGGAGACAGCTGTCAAAAACGGGTTATGTGAAGCGAATCGGTGATTAACAGGAAGAGCATGAGAATCTCACGTCCGAGAAAGTGGACAAAGCGCCAACGAACGTTAATGCTTTGGGAATTGAATAGCTTGGAAAATGCGAATTAATAGTTCTTCGGAAGCTAGAGTTGGATCACAGGCGATGAAAGGAAGGATACAACTTCTGGAGGACGAGCGTACGGGTGAGGAGCTGACAACGACTTCGACCGTTAAGAAAGCGTCTGTAGCATCCTAGTTTGTCACACACATGTCCAACCTCTGAGTCACGCCTGGGATTGTTACTAACAGTGCTTCTCAGCAGCTGAATGAATTCCATACCAAGCTGTGACCACGAGACACGAAACTAACGTAGCAGAAAAGGAACAGAACTTTTCGCTCCCATTTTCTGAATAGGTAGAACATGACCGACCTTGTCTATGTGTTCCAGATACTCATCAGTGCAAGTGAGCAATGGCTTGACGAAGTCAGGATGAAGCGGTGGAACGCGTAGTAGAGCACCGTGGAACTCTCTTAAAGACCATGACGCGGAAGCTACCAACAAAACGCAAGTTGTGTCACTTTGAGGTCGCTGCAAGTAAAAAAGTAATCACTTGAAAAAGCAAAAAAAAAAGCATTTACATTTCAAACCTTGTTCATGAGGTTAAGCTGCAATGAGTCTAGTAAGAAGGTGGTGTTCTCCAGGGGAAGTACATTTCTCTCCAGCAACCACAATAGTAAACTTGTGATGGTTTCTTGACAATCACTGGATTCCTCTCGTACGAGTTCAACACTTTGAAGCAGCTGAAGATGGAGGCTTACCATAATAAATGATTACAGGAATGATTTAGAGGTTTTATGCAACTTCATGTGCGTAAAGAAATCGGTTCTCCCTCCGATTAATAGCAGTGATAGTAATAGTAAAGTTATGTGCTCTACACAACGGCTGAACTATGTGTATTATTCATGCGTCAAAGGTATCTGTTGCTAACTGTAGATTACCATAATCCCAAGAGATGGGAAGTTATTCTATCTAGGCTAGTAGCAAGTCAACAATAATCACGGGGTTGGAGGGTTGGTGCTTCCACTCATCGCTACAGCATCCCCTACCAAACGAAACATTTCGCCAGTGATGAAATTAGAGACTCACCACTTCGACGATGTTGAGATCCGTTGTCTCAGCGACAGTCTCTTTGTTGGAATAAGTGAACTTGACACATTCAGCGAATGATTCTGCCCAAAATGACATAGATCCTCCAATTTCAAAGGGAAGGTTGTCGATAAACGATTCCAAGAACGACTTGATGAATTTAGCTTGGTCGTTCACATGCGGAACCAGGACTGCATAAGATGGCAAGAAAAACTTCGAAGCGTGGCGCCAGTGCCTAAATTCAGCTATGTTGATCGAACACATCACGAATATAGAGTAAAAAACGCTACAGCATTAACAAGTAAGAACTGAGCGCACATCGACGTATATCACTGCCCTCAATATTAGGTGAGAAGAAAATGGGCACGAAATAATCAAGTAAAGTAGGAACGTATGGTGGTTTGTTACTGATGACGAGTGGTATGGATGGTTGAGGAGGCTTCACTCTCTGGTACAGATCTCAACTTCAGCGATCAGATCGCTCCTACCCTTTACAGCGATAAGCGGAGGGATGAGATAGAGAGAGCTTCGGTGTACTAATCCGTTTGATTGTATTGTCGTGTTTCATCGGTTGAGTAAATGGTATCGTAAAATCTCCAGCCTTGCGCTCTTTGTCTTTTTGATTCTATCCCATAGACTAATGTTTGATTGCAGAAACTTATAAATCGAATCATGATTTTAAAATGTCTTGATCAAGAGTAATACAAAGGCATGTTTCCAGAAATATGTCGAGCTAGAGAACGATAAGTTGTCGGAATGTAAGACCGAAAATGAGCGAGAAAGAAAAGTGATAAGTCGAGCGAAGCATTCCATATAAGGCTATCCGCTATGGAATGACCATCCAAAACAGATTGTACAGCAGAAAATAATCTGATACTTACACTTCTTTACGTCTCACTACAGACAGGAGTTTGGGAACGACAGACTTCTGCACATCAAACTTTGAATAGAACCTGAAAGTTGAAATGTTAACAACGGCAGCCGCCGAACTCTCCAAAACACACCTCTCATTTGACAATAGAACTGTAAATGCTTCGAATGCCTTCGTACAAATAGATGAATCCGCTGAATCGAGATTTGAGATGATCCACGATGCCAAGGGGGTATCCAGTAACAGCGGTACACAATCTGTCGCTTTCAAGCAGATTCCCAACAGGGCTGATTTCACCTACAGAAGCTTAGTCTAAAAAAGGGTTTTCTAGAGCCAGCATCAAAATCAGACTCACCGCTGGGATCCCTTTCGTTAGATTCTTTATAACAGCAGTTTGCTTAAAAAAACTTTCCAAGACCTCCTTGAACTGAGTATTATTTGAGGCAGACTGTGCCAAGCGAGCAATGACTAGTAGGCATTGTACGGTCAAGCGTGAAACCCTTTGTTCAGGAGAATCTTCGCAATCGTACCTAAACAACTACATGTAGCAACTGAAATACTGAGTTCTTAAAATGTTCAACGAACTTTTGAGATTGAACCAGCGCGTGCCGACCAGCTATGATGTCGATGGCTAAGTTTGCCGTGTCGGCAGCAAAAATGGACTCCGCTTGTGAAGCCTTCTCACCAGGGAAATTTTCCGAAAGAACTGCTTCAGCTTGGTTAGAAACAGAAAGACTAGTATCACAGGTTGCAATGAGTACCATAGGCATAACCTGAACACACCAAATTGATAGCCCACAACAAAATGACTAAAAAGAAGCGCCATATTGTAAGACTCACAACTTTGAGCTGTTTCTCAGCTGCTTTTTTCAAAGACGAAATGAAAAAAGAGGTAACACGCAAAGATAACATACGTACGGTGGGGCTGCCATCCTGAAATATCAAGAGAATTCCCAAAGACTCAACAGGAAAAGAATTGAATATGACAATTCCACTGCGAAAATCACCAGTTACCCGAATCCCATGCTCGATGAGTAATGAGATCACTGAATATGGCATTCAGGTCCAGGTTACTGATGGTTTACGCATTATCTTGATCGCCGCTAACAAGGCGAGGGCTTTTCTGATGAGCGAAACGTGAGGAAGAGTTGGAACGGGCATAAGAACTAATTTGAAGCATGGGAAGACACAAGAAACAAGGATGAGTGGCTGGCTAGGATCAGTTTCCCTATGATGGGCCCTGCATTTGACTCTTTTTTCACAACTGAACAAAAACATTTGAAGCATACAATGGTTTCCACAGGCAGAATGCTGACCAAGCCGGCGTTTTACCCTTTCAAGTAGAAAGGGCTTGCCATTGGAGGAAGGTTAACGAACTCAGAGAGGTGGACTATTTTAGTATCGAATCTTATTGTTAGCAGGTAACGAGCATTTCATGCTTAGTTCACTCTTTCATACGGACTGGAACACTCCAAACCAATGATGATCTCACAACTTTCATTTCAATTTCAAGCGAAGATCGAAAGCTCAGCAGTCTATAGATGAAACCTACAACAATGAGTTTGTCCATGAGAGTAGCGAAGTGATTGTAGCAAATTTCCAACATTTCTCGATCCTTTTCTTTCAGACAAACGAGAAGTTCTCGAAGGGCCTAAATCAGTTCGAATGCCAAAATAAGTCAGTTTGAGGAGGATACCAATTCTACCAAGTTCCCAACAAAAAGCTTACTTTCTCCCGAGTTTGAGGATCCTTTTTGGATAGTTTCCTCAATATCAGAACCACATCAGGATCGAGCTCTTTGCAAGCCACACCTGCTTTGGCAGCAGCGGCCACCTCAAAAACGTTGGTAGCGCCACTGCCAAAACCAACGAAGGAGGTTGAGTATCCTGACCGCTCAAGAAGGGCAGCGGCACTAGCGCTGCTTGCTGCCTTAATGGGTGGCATTTACGATGATAGCATTAAATTTGAGAGGGCAAGTCCTACATTAAATATTGAACATATCAACGGCGGAAACATCGTTTAAAATATAAATCCAATAATTTTCAACGAGAACCTCGTACTAACCTTCGCATTTCCTTTTCTTCGTTGTGGTTTGCTCATCCGACAAGAATATTCTACCAGGCCAAAAAATTTTTGAAATCAAATTCAAAAAGTACAATAAACGAGAAACTGACGAGAAGCAATTACGGTTACTAAAAAGTCGGAAGCAAAAAAAAACAAAACGTACGTCTATTGTGTGTCGGACGCAACTGCGGTCAACACTTAAACTCCCGCGACATTTTAACTTTCAAACCACAGTCAAGTGTTTTTCCTGGCTCGTCAACAAAGAATCTTTTGTTTTTCATCAGTAAACCGTTCTTTACAGTTCTGTATGACTGAAGAACAACCTAAGAAGAATACTCATGAGTTGCCGGACGACTACTGGATCTTCGAGGAGCTCGGTTAGTCAGTTATTGTCGTGAACCTAGTTAAACCAAATTTTTGCTAGTAATGTTCTTTTATCGGCTTAATTTGAATAGCATGTGATAAATGGTAATTCTGAGAGGTAGGCTGAATCCATCGCATTGAGGAATATATGATGTGGGTGCGTAAGTTGGAGGATTTTTTATTAGGGGGCTTAAAAAGTGATGTAGGCAGAGGTAAGAAGAGCCGGATTCTATATCTGGGATGTTTATTCAAAGCGACTTCTCACAATGTTTTGTTGAATACCTTTTGTTCAGGAAGCCCAGTGAAATTATCAAGCAATCGGCAGGGTCCATCCGTATCTTCCAAAGCTTCGACCTCAAAGGACCTGGTAAGGTTTTCATCCGGGTTACGGTAATTAGTTAATCCACATTGTCTGGGAAGGAGTTGAACATCAAATATGTGCGTCGTTAAAGTCGAGTACGAAATCTCATTATAAAGAAAAGCAATCGCAGAGCGGCCCTTTTGATAGCGCGCAGGTATTATATGAAACGCATTAGCTAGTCGTTCCGCAACCACGCGCTCAATTGGTTTGTCAGCACAGCAGCACTAAGCTTATTGGCGAGTTGTGATGTTGCCTAGAGCGAAATTCTCAGGCAAAACATGTTCTCAAGTGTGCTAGCTTTGGAACCATATTATGCTTCAACATTTTGAATGCCGGCCTTAACTTGCTTCATCCTTTTTTACTTCTGTTTTCATGTTTCATGACTTTTATATGATTCAGGACGAGAATGAATACCAACAGAAGCTTCGAATATATGCTAATAACATGCGGAAGCTGATTATAACAGCACGGAAATCGATCAAGGAACTGAAGCAGGAGAACGTCATGCTGAAACGAAAGTTCGTACGTTTCCGATTCTTGGTAACATTCGTCAAAGCGTTGCTTAAGGCTTGAAGCCAGTGGTCTCCTTGAATGTCCTGCTTGTTTGTATCACTTTAAGCCGGAAAGAAAACATCGAATTCTTCCCAAATATATTAAGGTCGGTCTTTAGTGGTTTTGATTTTGTTTTAATTGGGAAGTGTGCTCGAAACGCTCTCTTTTCTTTACTCTTTCGTTGTATATTGAGGACTTAACCACAAAATTTCATTTCGTGATAAAGTCCTCAATATACAACGAAAGAGTAAAGAACACAACGAAAGAGTTGAGAACAGATAAAATATAACGAGCAAATACAGAAGGTTTGCTCTGACGATCGAAGCTTTCACTCATTATTACTATTATTTTTTCTTTTTAATATTCGATTTGGAAGTTTATTTTGTGAATTCTTTTTTGTCATAAACTTACCTATCTTCAAAGGCAAATACCTCTTGAAGAATCCATTTTTCTTAATTTTTCTGAAGGTTTTCCGTGGAAAGCTGGCTCTTGAAGTCGAGTTTTCATCACTGGACGAGATGTCGGAATGGCTGACAGTAAACCAACTTGATGAGAACACCGATGGCCTTCCTACTTTGGTAACTTTTTGAACTCTTTTGTTTTTTCTTTTTTTATTTCCAATTCTTTTCTGTTCAGCTCCAAAAAGAGGAGAAGCAGGATCTTACGACAGCAGGCAGTCTTCTTCATAAATTGCTCAGCGAAAAGGAGTCAGAGACTAAGCGAGAGAGAGTTGTGATCAGCACACGTCCTAGTAACTCAAATCCACAACTCGGCACTTCTACAGCAGCTCAGCCTTCAAGGATTGGAATGGAGGGGATTGATGGCACAAAGAACTCGTGCCATAGTGGTAACAACCATTGCAGCCAAATTACCAAGGATCAGTTAAAGGAAGGGCTCGTGAGTACGACTTCCACTTCTGAGTCGTTGCCATCTACGAGCGCTGACAGATTGTCCGAAGATTTTGAGAAGAACTCAAAGGAACCCATTCATCAGTTGCCTTTCGAGGCGTGTGCCAGTCTTATTTGCAATATAAAAGAAAGTTTAAATATCGATGCGCCAAGCAGCGGTGATGGACGTCAAAGTGGTCGTGCGATTTCGGAGGAGGGCGATTTGAATTCGTCACAGCCAAGAGATGTGCCGAGATTAAAAGCCACAACGGAGAAAGGTGGCATAAGGATGAGAAATCCTGATTCTCATCGCAGTGATCGTGAAGAAGGGAAGAGGCGACGAGAAGTTAATATGTACAAGGATGATCATGCGCCATCTACTCGAAATCATTCAAGCGTACATCGTAAAGAGGAGAACATCAAGGGTTCCTTAAAAGCAGATGATAGACTTGGGAAAAGATCCCGAACAAGTAGCAGTCGTGACAGAAGCCGCATTTCATGTCGTTCTAATCAGGCTAGAAGCCCTGTGAAAGTAAAGAAGGAACACATAAGCAACGTCTCTGGGAAACATGATCACGATCAGAGTAGGCGACATAAGACTTCGAGTTCTGGAAAAGAGAATGTTTACCATAAAGAGGGCAACCGAGAAGAAAGGCAGAAGGGCAGTCCGCATCACAGAAGGATGGATTGTAGTTCGAAGAACAAGCGAGAAATTGACTCCACTCCACCAGAAAGACCTTTAAAGACAGGTGTCGATGGTTCTCAGTCGAGCAGAAATGGGGATTCTCAGCGGCATGAATCGAGAAGCGAATACCATTCAAACCCGAACAAAGGTCAGTCATTTTGCGTGTCATCAGTACAGTCTTTTCAGTAGTACCCTCATTACTTGTGGTGGCAGCCACGCGGAGCTTGATCAGTTTCTTCCCCAGATACGGCATTAATAAGTTTCCATTCCGAGACGTAGGAATATTTGATCTCGCAGTCGCCCACCCATTACCTGGGAGGGGTAAACTACATCTAAGCAGGTTTTTCTATACTCCGTGACTATTCTGGTCCTTATTAACCCCCTTTGCTAGAGTTAGTGAAAACAGCGCTGCACGACAGTCACTGTTCTCTACTCTTTAATGCAGTCGTGCGGCTTTATAGCGATTTATGTAGTATTTAACGCAATGCTTTTAAGATTCGATGAAACATGATCTTCACTGAAAGCAAGTTGTGAGACATTCGTTCGTTGATTAGTAGCACTTCAGGTTGGGGTAGCTGGAGCAATTCATTAGTATTTCAATGGTTCATTCTTTATAGCAGAATATCAGACGCGTTCTACTAACTCTTCTGTTTTAATTTTTTTCTATAGAAGCCTCCGATCATCCCTTATGTTGGAGGCAGTACT